TGGAGCTAAAATATTAAACAAATAAACAAAAAAGAAATTGAGATAATAACAATCACAATAACTCATTGAACTTTCAAAAGTAGAGTGTAGAACTAGGGCCACCAGAGATAGAAAAGGGGGAGGGGGAAGGAGGAGCAGTGAGAAATTGGTAAAGGACCACAAACAATGATTATGTTGTGTAATTGTTGAACATACTAATTATCCTGATTTGAGCATCACGTATTGAACACAGGTACTGATATTTGATGCTGTACCCCACAGATATGTACAATCAACTATGTTTCAATTAAAAAAAAAAAGAGTGTGTGACTGGAAAAAGTGGGTGTGGCTGTGGGGGCTGGGGCAAGGATAAGAAGCCAGAATGAGTTTCTCAAATCCATAGTATATCAAACGGGGCATTTTGTCCATCTACGTCTTAGACAGAAAGGCCATATGCATTCTGCTTCCTTTGCATTGATTACTCCTGCAGGAGGAGTGAGAGCTCGGGGGGGGGGGGGGGGCCTCTGTTATAAAAAATGTGATCCTCAGGAGACTTGGAGAGGAATGTATGTGAGAACGAGGCACCTGGGGACAAAGCTGAGTGAATACTGATTATGGCTGACAAGGGGAGAGGTGTTCATCGGGCACCTGGAATGTCAGATCAGAATCATCCTATGGAAAAAAAACTCCAGGCATCTAAAACCTCCCATGATCTCCGTTTCCATTTCAATTGATTTTAATGCTGGTGCAATCCTATCTAAATGCTAATTTTTTTTCCTTTGAGTTTGGGATGGACAAATCCTCCAAAAAGTCTGAGAGAGATTAAATGGAAAATATTATTATTAAAAACAAGACAGTGGGCACTGCCGTGGTCTGATTCTCTGGGGAATTGAATTTTACAAATCTATATGTGTGTGTGCATGTGTGTGCCAGTTTATTACATAAATCTGACAGCAACCAGAAGGGAAGTCTGAGGTTTCACTGTTTTACATTCGCTCTTATTGCCAGACAGAATACCCTGATCAGTTCTCATTAGGCTGCCCTGTGTCTCTGTCTCCTGCCATCAGTTGAAAGTGATCACTGTTAATTCTGTGAAGCAGGCTACATTTCTGTGCACCCTTCTAGATTGCATTTGGAAATTGGTTTTAGAATTAAGAATCCATACTCATTTTCCAAGAGACTGCTTGCAATATGGCTGTCACTTCCCAGACCTGAGATGGTCTCTGGGTGGAGAGCTGTAACCAAAGGAAAGAGTCTCTCTTTGTGTGTCTCAAAGATGCAGCTCACGAGCCTGTATTGAATACCTGTGAAGATGCAGCACGTGGTAGGTGCCAGATATTTTCAGTAATAAAGTCACAGGGCAAGAATCCACGGGCAAGCTGGTATAAGGGTTACTCAGTGAGACTCCAGCATGCACAAGTGAGGAAGAGAAGAGCTGACTACAGGACTGAGCATGATCAGGGGCTTTCTCTAAACCTCACAGCCTTTGTTACCCAGATCACCCACTTAGTCTTCAGATCACAATGCCTTGGAAATTCTCTTTTTAATTGCATGAATCTTTTCTCCTCAACTCATTGGCAAGCTCTCTGAAGGAAGGGATTATGTCCTAAAATGACAATGATGATTAAAATGGTGACAGTATCTGCCATTTGCCACTTTTCATGTAAGTGCTTTATAAGTATATTGTCTCTAAATCACAATTTAATGCTTAAAGAATAGAAGTGACTTACCTAAGGCCACAGAGCTAGTAGTAACATAAGTGGGATTCGAGCCACTTCTATCTGGCCTCACAGCCCATTGTCTTAGTCCAATCTGGCTGCTATAACAAAATAACATGTACTAGGTGGCTTATAAACAACAGAAACTTATTTCTCTCTGTCCTGGAGGCTGGGAAATCCCAGATCAAGGCACTGGCATATTCAGTATCTGGTGAAGGCCTACTTTCTGGCTCACCGTTGGTGTACTTTTGCTGTGTCCTCACGTGGTAGAAATGGCTAACCAGCTCTCTGGGGTCTCTCTCATAAGGGCACTAATCCCAATCATGAGGGCTTTACCCTCATAACCTAATCACCTCCCAAAGGCCCCACCTCCTAATACCACCACACTGGGGGTTGGGATTTCAACATATGAATTTGGGGGGACACAAACATTCAGACCATAGCACCCATACTCTTTTTTTAAAAAAATTTTTGTGACCAGTAAGGGGATCGTAACCCTTGGCTGGGTGTCGCCCGCACCGCGCTCAGCCAGTGAGCGCACCGGCCATCCCTATATAGGATCCGAACCTGCGGCCTTGGTGCTCCCAGCGCCGCACTCTCCCGAGTGAGCCACGGGTTCAGCCCCATACTCTTTCTTTCTTACCACCAACAGCAGAATGGCCTCCATGAATTGATTGCCCCTCGTCAGGGTTTTCAGAAGATGTCACGAACTTGCACCAGAAGCTCTTACTTAAGTTAAAAGAGGCTGAAAAGGGCCCTGTGTATAAAGTGACCAAGCACAAGATCCCAAAGAGCTATAGATTTAGGAATGACTTTGATGAATACTTTCTTCAGAGTTCACCAGCACTTAGCATGCTCTGCTGTCACAGCTGTCATAGCAGCGAGCATACTGGGCTGGTATTATATGTTTTGAAATGATATCCTAAGTACATCCTGAGCTCCTAAGGACAGGACAGCAACATTAATTTTCATAACCTTGGTGGTTCAGCACAGAGATTCTTATTAATGCCTATTGACTCAAAAAAAGAGTATGTAATGAAAGTCTTACTCATTAAAGATACTTAGAAACTATTAGAGATACCAAGAAAAAACTAACCTAATCAATTACCCACCAATCAGATATATTACCACTGTTAATATTTTGATCTATTTCCTTCCAGTCTCTGTTGAATGTTTGTTCTCATGTTGAATGAAGAAATGCAAAGAAAAAAATGCAGTTAAAGCTATCAGACTCCCTAATTAAGGTGTGATAAAGTGACCTAGAGGCTTGTATGAGGGTCTCTGGTCTTGTCTTGGAAGTACGTTGCTATTGCAAAAAGGGAGGATTCTTGGAAGGAACTGCCGATTCTCATGCCCTGTGAGCAACTGACCGGGCCAGGATGGAGGTTGGAGTCTCTAAGGAGAGTGACAGATCAGCACTGGGTCTGGATTGCCCTGCCTTACCTCGACATTCTTTGAATATTCAAAATAAACAAATAGGTAGATAGCTCTCCAATTTACACACAGTAAATATTACTAGGTATCAGTTTCTCTAGTAATAATATGTGGTGCGTTCTATGGTCTGCTGCTTAGAAAACCTGCACAATTGGGGACAGAAGAAGATAAGTGGTTGCTTTAGTCCTAGCTAGTTTTCCTGTCCTAGTGGAATATTTTACAATGCCTGAGGTTGTAGATGTTGAACATAGGTCATTGAAGTTCATTAACTGGTTACTTTCCACAACACTGGTGGTTTAAGTTATCGTGGTCAAGTGGCCCGTGGAGATGCTGCTCTTGGAGCAGTGCCCTCCTAGGTGGGCACAGGGGATGAGGAAGCGGCGGTGGGAGGGAGGAGGTGGATGCTCAGAGGTCCTTCTGACCAATTGATTTCCACTTCTCCTTTTTAAGGATGCAAAGATGACCCTGGAAGGGCTTGTCACGCCTTTGCTCTCCGGCTGGAGACTTGGATGAGGGGCTGGCTAGGTCTGGATAGGGATTCTGGGGAAGTCAAGTGGCTGTTCCAGAAGAGGATGTTGGGAAGGAATAAACCATTCTAGTGCTCTGGTTGAATTCAATATGCCACCCTTTCCCAATTAAAGAAACAACTGAAAAAGTAGTCACAGAGAAAATATGAGCCATCACTGCTATTTTATATTACAACAAAAAGGCTGTAACTTATCTTATTCATTAAGAGAAAAGAAGCAGAGAATGAATTTCAATGAAGCCAGACAGTGCACTTCCTTTCTGAACATCTGCTTCTGACGTGATGAGCGGGAGCATTTCTGAGCAGTTCCAGGTCTTGGGGGCGTTTTTGGTCAGGGGGAGACCCAGGCTCTGTAGCTGCAGAATGTCATGGTCTTGGGTGTGATACTTCTGTGTCAGCAAGGAAAGCCCTGGGAGAAGGGTTCCGTGACCTTGTATTCTCTCCCTTTCCTGAGCCTAGGTAATTCAGACTTGTCTCTTGAAAGAGAAACTATAGATAAAGCCATAGCAGAACAGAATAGAAATAATTACTCTCAATTTAAAATGGTGTTTTGTGTCACAAAAGACAAAGAAACACCAAGAACCTGTTCCAGATTAAAGGCGACTAAAGAAACGTAACAGCCAAATGCAAGAATGAGATCCTGGATCAGATTCTGGGCCAGGGAAAAAGTTTTTCTCTTGCAATAAAGGACATTAGTGGGACAACTGGTCAATTTAAATAAGGTCTATAGATTAGATAGTAGAACTATATTCAGTGATCATTGTACTGTGGTTATATGAGAGGAAGTCCTTGTTTCTAGAAAACACAGGAAGTATTTAGGGGTTAAAGGGGAATTGTGTCTGCTACTAACTCTCAAACCGTTCAGAAAAAAAAAAAAAAAAATATATATATATATATATATATGTAGAGAGAGAGAGCAAGAGCATGATAAAGCAAAGGTGGTAAAATGTTAACATTTGGGGAATCTGGATGAAGAGATAACAATTCTTTACACTACTATTTTTGTAAGTCTGAAATTATTTTAGATTAAAAATAATTTTTAAAGCGATTATGTTTAAAGCACTGTTACACCTTTTTGTAATTACTATTTTTAAATCAAGTAACAAGGCCTTTTAAAGGTTAATTTTTTGAAAGGTTTAAATGTTAGGAAAATATGTTTCTGTTGTGCTGGGTTGCTCTTAAACAGACCACTCCTCCAGACTGGGTTATTTGCCCTTCAGTGTCTTGTGAAATGTTTGCTTTCCCTTCAGACATCTTAGTAAGTTACGTGCCAGTAAAACAGTAAGTGTCAAGTTACTCTCTGGTTCTGTTCATCCCCCACTTCAGACTGAATTAAAGAATTACTTAAATAAATGCTTCCATGTTAATCCTTTTCTTTCCCACCCCATCCCTCACCCCAAGTTGTTCCTTGTGCGGACGTGGCCACTCTGGGAGGCATCCGGGAGAGAACATGAGATTTGATTCCAGATGGCCTAAATGCTTATAAGTTATGTCCCTGAGTAATCAATGTAATCTGCACAATCATCAGTTTCTCCACATGTAAAATAGAGCTAAAATAATACTTGTTCGATATCACTTTCTAGAGCTGTTAAGAGGTCCAAGTAAAAGGATACACGAAATGCTTTGAAAAATACTCCACAGACTTTGGTTGTTATTGTTTATGGAATTTTGTATAAAGCTGAGGAGAGGGTGGGGCGTGTGTCCCCAAGGCCCTCTTTCTAATACTATCGGAGCCGCCTGACGTTGTCCATGACATAGACCTGGAGTACAAGCCTACTCAGCTGCTTTCCAGTGCCTTAAGTTGATATTTGAAAAACCAGCTACCATTTATTCACTGAGCACCCACCACATTCTGGAACTCTTCATATCACTCACGTATCACCCTCATGAAACGTCCTGATTTTAGATGGGAAATTAAAGCTCTGAAAGGCCCCGTGACTTGAGGTAGGACACAAAGCTACCAGGTGGCAGATTCTGGACTTGAACCCGTGTGTCTATGACTTTATAGCCTGAGCTCTGTCCATTATGTTAGCCTGGGTCTCTGGTGGCCAGTGAATGGAAGCCAGCAGTCACTGTGGGAAATGAACTCAGAGACAGAGTAATTTTGCCTAGTGAATAGAACCGGAGGCTTAAATTGGATCCACGGAGAACTGGATTGTGCATGACATTGTGCACGTTTCAAATCTTCCACCCTCTAGACATCTACCTCACCCAAATAAGACTTAGCTTGAGCTTGGGGACTTAACCAAAGGGGCATCCGTTTTGGAAGAATACACTTGTCTCTACAAGAGGAAAGATTTTGTCACTTTCTTACCCATGTTTCGTACATCTCTTCTGGGCGCAGGCGACGTAGAGTGGGTCTGCAAAAAATAAAAAGGAGGAGCTTCCTTGAGTAGGGATCACCATGACAGATAACTGAGGCCTCAGCACCATGAAATGTAAAATGAGGTGTTGGCTCATTTGCAAGAGCATGAAGAGCCCTAGAAACCCACTGCTCCCTAAGGAGACAGAGCTGCTCTACTCTGCTGTGTCAGACAGAGAGCTGGGCCTAAGCCACTCCGCCTTTTCACAGATCCATTTGATCCAAGGATTACAAAGTCTATTACAAACAATGGGTCAGAGGACACAGGGTCAGCTCCTTCCCAGGGCAAGCAGCATTTCTCCCTTCTCTCCTGAGAGCCCAGAGCAGGCCCAGAATGAGGCAACCGGAGAGAGAAAACAGGGAGTGCTGGGTTTCCTAGCCCAGAACTGCGTGGTTTTATCATCAGGGTCATCCATCGAAAGCCCTTTAGGGATGTTGGGGGAGGAAGTGGGATCTATATTTTGCTCATAGTTTCATTTCTTTCTGAATGTTGGCAAATGGTGCTTAGACATGGTAATACTTGTTCCTCTGAGTGCCACTTCCCTGCAGGGACTAGAACTGTCCAGGTGTGGGGGTCATGGTGCTCCAGGTTCAATGAACACACTTGTGCACGTATGGGGTCAGGTGCATGGGAGAGGCAGCAAGTCCACGACCATGTTCCACGTTTCTTGACCCCTCCGTCAAGAGCAGGGGTCAGCAGACTACAGCTGGTGGGCCAAATCCAGCTAGTGCCTCCTGTTTCTGTAAATCTACTTTTATTGGGACATAGCCACACCCATTTGTTTACACATGGTCTCTGGCTGCTTTCACACTTACAACAGCAGAGCTGAGTTGTTGCAACAGAGGCCATCTGGCCCAAAGAGCCTGAAATATTTACGATTTGGTCCTTTACAGAAAAAGTTTGCTGATCCATTCTAGAGCTACTCTAAGTGGCATCAAATACTCTTATTTCTCTCCCAGAAGTTCTATGTATAGATTGTTCATCCTTGGCTAAGTTGCTTAGCTACTCTGAGTCCAAGTCCTTGATCTGTAAAATCTGGATAATAATAATTACCCCATAAGGTTGGAGATTAGATAAAATAGCTTCTATAAAGCAACTAGCATGGTACTTGGCATAGAGGAAGCCTTTCATTAAATTGCTATCATTATTAATGTAGAATTTTACTTATATCTTGCTCTGACTTCGAGGGAATTTGCTAACTGGAAGGAGGTAGTCTAACCCTGCTCGCATGTGTAGACCCATATTCAGAAGTAGTAACATCCCCGCCATTTATCAATGACCAACAGAGCCATACTCACGAGTTCCGCTCTGCTGGGATACTCAGTCTTGGTTGTTGCTCTTGGTGGATCTGAAATGTCACCAATGAAAGGCTCATCTCCATTCCCCAGACCCCAGACCCCCACTCCCTGCATGCCATCCTGGGCACCTTTGGTGTTCCTTCACGAACTCCACGAGCTCCTCTTCTGTGTAAGGTTTGTCAGGGATGGCAATGGGCTCGTCCATAAATGGCTCATAGAAGTCAACTTCGTTCATCTTCAAGGACAATTTCTTTGCAACCTGTTAGAAATAAGACAAAGTTCATCTGAATGTCAGTCACGAGTAGCAATGGGTTGTCCATCTAAGAAGAGTGTGTGTTTTCTGGCAAAGACATGAGAGCATATGTACAATTTTAATAAAATGTTGAAGTGATAGGAACTCATCATCGAAGGCCTGGGTGGGACCAATCTCCTTTTGTGATCAAAGAAGGAGAGACAGAGAGAAAAAAGAGAAAAAAGACTTATCTGGCAAATGAGGGTCATGCAAGGGCAGGGAGCAGCTGGAATGAAAAGTGGGAAATTTAATTCTACAATCACCATCACTCTACAGTATTTGCCAGGGCTGGAGAAGGAAACAAATCCAAGGGAGTATGTTTACTGTTCTGAGTTGTGTGGATTTACATGAACAATTTTGATAGAACAGGCAATCGATAGAAACCCTTAAAGCATACAGGTACTCAGAATCAGAAGCCAATCCATTAATCTGTCCTTGTACAACTCATAAACCCTAATTGCTATTTAGGTTGAAACACTGGCCCCAGGGTTGGATCTCTCAGTACCAGGCTTCCTTGATAGTTTGTCAGGCTCTGGAAACTGCCCCGTTTGTTCCCAGTCATAAGGTGGACAGCCATCCTACTTTCCTCAGAGTGGAGAGTTTTTCCAGGATGTGGGATTTCAGTGCTAAAACCTGGACAGTCTCCAGCAAGCCAGGATGAGTTGCTCACCCTGTAAGAGATAAAAACCTCAGGCAATCAGCCCATAGCCTGGAAGATATTTTCTTTCTTGATTAATGAGGCCACATGGTCAGTCTGTTGTCAAGGCAGAATGGTTGCTGTGTTCGCCTGCACAGCCGCTGAACTCAGGACCTCTCTTTGTGAAATGATTCGAGAGGCCTGGAATGTGCAACACTTTATAGAAAACCAAATGCCATTCTTTTCTAGTTCAGAGCTGTGTTCCAAGAAGGCACAGGGATGAACAGTGGTTCCCTTGAAACTAAAGAAGAATTGCCTAAGAGCTGACGTCCTGTGGTGGTAACCACGGCACAGGCGCAGTGACCCAGGGTGGCTGTGACTAATTGGGGAGGGGGAGGAGCTGGGTATTACATAAGCTCTTACACAAGGGGGTCCATCTTGAGGAAACACTGGTATCTATATGATTTTTGCCATCAATTGCTATTAATTCCCGGTCACTATATTCCAAAGACATTTCTTATAGTACCTAAGGGAAAAGAAAAACCCAGCATCCTACTCAGAGCTAAAGAAATGAGGCCCTGTTAAGAGCTACAGTCAGTCATGGAGATTTCATTGTCATATTGATTTTGTTTTAAGACAGGGAGGTGTGGAGTTTTCTTCCCTCTTCTCTGGGGTAGGGGTGGTGTGGATGATGGGGTGGTGAGGCAGGGATTGAGGAGGAGGAAACAGCAAACGTACAACCAGTGTCTGGGTTTACACACAGTTCTCAGCAAAGCTGGGCCTGTGGTAGGATGGGCTTGCACATGACATTGGACTGTAGTTTTTTGGGTTCACTTACTACATATTCTAAAGACCAGAAAACTGTGCTTCTATGAAATGGGAAGTGATCAGATGAACAAAAACAGTAATAGTAGCCGACAAATGGAGTGCTTACTATGTGCCAGGCACTGTTGCAAAGTGTTTAGTACTTCATTTAATTCTCACTTTGATTGTATGACGTAAGACCTACTATTGTACTTATTGTACAAATGATGAATCTCAGGTACAATCTGGGTAAGCAATTTGTCCAGATCATACTCCTGGAAGGCGTAGAGGCAGAATTCAAACCCAGTCCATGGAGCTTTCTAAATCCCCAGTTTGCTGTATTCCAACTTTCTTTTCATTTGAAAATTACCTTCTCTTTGACAATATAAAAAAAAATATACACATGTCCCTGTAAATATTACACTGGCACTGCACATAATTTAGTGAAATGTTTCCTTATTCCTCCTGTAACATGTTCTTATCAGTTCGTCCCCTGTGACAGTTTGCTATAACTAAGGCTTCCTGAAGGCAAGAAGCAGCTCATTAGAGCCACTGTCAAGGCAAGCCGTGTGGGTGTGTCTGTGATTTTGATTGACTGAAGTATTTATTTATTTATTTGTTCAACAAATATTTAGTGGGGCCCACTATATCCAAGGCACTGTTTTAGCAGCAGATCTGGTTCATGGGCATAACAATCTATAAGAATGAATTACAATCACTAAAAGCCAAGTAGGTTCATACAAATGAGTTCTGCCATGCTTTTATTTTTATTTTTTTAAACTAGTTGGAATAGATCTTGACAAAGACAAGAAAACTATAGAGTACAATGCCATTTTTCTGGCATTTGCATGTACATAAGTTTTGATATTTTTCTACAAATTAGCAAGCCATTTCACTTGCCGCCAGTGAAACCAACTCAATGTGAATCTAGGCCTTCTCAAAGTCTATCTTCTCCATCAATTTTGTTGAGATAGTCACGGCTCCCTTTGGCCCCAGTGTGATTCAAAAAAGGTGTTTTGTCTAACTGTTCACTCATACAGAAGAAGGAACAGGCCAGTGGGAGGTGATGTGGGATAATTCGAACTGACATCTTCCAGGCTGTAAGGTACAGCAGAGGGACACCATCCCTGGCCCTCTCACCCTCTCTTGCTCCAACCGCTCCCTCAGAGAGTTTGGGCCTTCACGTGGCTTGATTTAGGATCAGGATCAGTAGTTCTGGTCCCAAACCTGTGTGTCCTGTAAAATTCCTTGGGAAGCTTTTTGAAAATGCAGATTCCTGGGCCCTGTCACAACCCTGAAAAGCCCAAATTTCAGGGGTGGGGCCCACAGATCAATGGTTTTAAGAGCTCCTTGGAGGATACCAATATTGACAGTAGCTGGGAACTACTAAATCTACCTCAGCAGCCTTGACATCTCACCCTCTTTAGAGTTTTCCAACTTATATATTTATTGGTTTGTTTACTTATTTACTTCCTGTCTTTCCATCTTCTCTCCCCCACATTGAACTCTAAATTCTAGAAGGGCAGGAATCTGTTTTGATTACCATAGTGCCTGGCATAAAAAACACACTCAAAAAATACCTGTTGAGTAAATGAATGAATAAATGAATGAATGAATGAAAGACACCTCCCATTGAATGTTGTCCCAACTTGTAGAAAATAGGCCTCATAACCCTATCTTACGTTTCTTGATTGATTCTTCTTCCCAGACTTCCTAATGTTTACAGTGTCTTCACAATCTTTGCCGTCGTGAAGCCAAGACCTGCAATTTTAAGTTATTTGGGAGTCTTCCCCCTTCTTTCCTTCACCCCATCAATGCCCCGGTCCCCTTGTCACACTGACTGCTGCCAGTTGGTTGCTTCATGTTTGTGACTTTATCAGTGCTTCCTTGGCCCTTGCCTCTCCTGGTTTCAAACCTCTACAAAGCACCTCTAGGTCCCTCTTGAGATTCCCTACAGAGTGTTGTGCAAACAGGTCCTTTCAGCTACCCTATGACATACATTACTTTCCCCCTCTTCTGCTCCAGCGCCCCCTGCTGGACACCACTGAGGCTTCCCCTGGGTGCAGCCATGCCTTCTGGACCCCACTATCTCCCACTGGAAAACACCAACCCCCACCCCAACTGATGGGTGCAAGTTCTGTAAGTCGCGAGTGGCCTCAGAGTTCTCTCAGTGCAACTGCTCTCCCCTCTGTGTGTCTTTCTCTTTTTAAATGTTATGAAATCCACAAGGCTATATGAACAGCGGCATTTATGACTCAGTCTTACCGAATTTTCAGTAAAGCAGCTTTCTGACTTTTTAATTATAGCCTGACCTCACCTTCTTCATGGGCCACAGACATGAAGCCATATAGCTGGACTGGGAAGCACTTCTGAAAACAGATACTGCCCTGAACTGAGAGCTGAACCACCCTTCTAAGAACTCAGGCTTTGTTGCTTGGCTAAGCTTGTCTGCCTGACTTTTGTTTCCTTTCAGACAAGTTCTCACTCAGGAGCCACCTTAGCCACTCCTGACCCTTCAGAACCAAATATCAGTGATGGATTCACTTTAGGCTTCTCTACTACCCCAACCTCCCCCTCTCCTGGACCTAGATGACAGCCTTCTTATTGACAACAGCACTCACAACTAGCGAACATTTGCTGAATGCTTACTGTGTGCCAAACACCAGCTAAGCATTTTACATATATTACTTCTTTCACTGGTATAGAATAACACTGAGCATTGACTTTGAAGTCAGGCTACCCTGAGATCATAACAAGCTTCATGATTTGCTATGTGTCCATGAGCAAATCACTTAATTTCTCGCCGCCTCAGTTTCAGTCTCCATAGAATGAGAACACTACTTCTTCCTTACAGGGGCATTGAGAGGATGAAATGAGAAAACCTGTGTAAGGCTCTTAGCACAGAGCCTGGAGCATAATAAGTACTTAATAAATGATTGTTCTTCTTCTTCTTTATATTCTTGCTGAAGATCTCTCCTGACTCTAATGCAACCTCGCTTTTATGAAGTTCACAGAGTAAACTTTCTTCAAGTTTAGGTTGTATTACTTAGACTATAGACCTCTCTTGTGGATTATAGGCTTGAAGACAGGGGCCATATCCATAGACATGGTTCAATGTATATATGAAGTGACCGTAATCTCTTTTCACCATGCTCTTTCCCTACTCCAACACCTCTGGTTTCCTTTTGTTTTTCACAGAATACTTGAATCCACATAGGATAAAGGCCCACAAGCAATGCTCACCAACAGACTTACTGCTCAGTAGGCCTCTCTCTGCTGAACTTTTACTTGAATTTGATCAAGAACTTAGTTTGTCCTATATTTATTTGTTCTAGCAAATATGGTGATTTAGGACTTTCAGTAGGCGTGTGCATGTGTTATGTGTGTGGGGTGATGGTGGCGGTGGGTGTGTGTGTGTGTGTGTGTGTGTGCACTCTAAATCACAAGGCCAGGTATAGGGTCTATTATTTAATGATGTGATAGAGGAAAGGGCACAGGTTTTAGGCACAGATTATCCTAAATTGGGATCTCAGTGCTACTATTAATTTGCTGGAGACTTTGGATATCACTTTCCCTTTCTAAGCCTGTTTTCTCTTCTGGGAAGTGGGAGTTCTTATCTTTCAAAGGTGTTTAAAGGATTAGACATAATATAGATGAAATATACCAAATTGTGCCCAACACACAGAAAGCATTCAGCAAATAGCAGCCATTTAGCAGTGACAGAAGCCACAGCAGAGTACTGGACTGAAGTACATCCCATGTAAATTACCCATTGATTCAGGTCTCTCTGTCTCTGCTGTTCTTGGCTTATAAAATCACTTGCCACATCCAGACAACAAAGGGCAGCTGGTTTATAGAAAAGTACATCCACAGCATCTCTTGAGGATGCAGGTAATTTTCTGAAGCCCCAGGGCTTCAGATGGTCAATGCCCCTCCCCATCCTACCCCCTCTCCTGATCCATGGGAGAGGAAGTCTGCCACCCAGGAAGGGAGAGGTCAGCTCCCAAGGGAAAAGGAAGCAGTGGCTCAGTGGCCTGACACACTCTGGGCTCACAGTTTTCTCCTCCTTAGTGTATGGGAAGATAAGGGTGGGCTGTCACTCTTCATCGGATGTCTTCAGAAATGTCCTTATATCCTCGGAGTTCATCACCTTTGTACTCGTCCCTCTTTCAGGAGTGGTTTACTGACATGTTCCTAACATTTGTGGAGCAACAAGCAAAGGAGGATGGTTAATGTTGCTAAAAGAAGAGAAAAAAGCAGTGGGAAGTTCGAACTTTAACCCTTTGTGCTTACGCAAGTGTTCAAATTAGAGTTTCACAGATACTTACCCCTTTGTCAAAGGTGGCAAAAAATTTGATGTAAGGCTGGAAGTGCTCAGCTGCTTCTTCAAAAGCCTTGTAATCTAAGAGGAAAAAAATGAGAGGGAGAGATGTCTTCCAAAGGCACAGTGCAGAATCTTCTCTATTTTGTTTTTTGGCAGATGGCCTGTGTGGGGATCCGAACCCTTGACCTTTGTGTTGTAGCACCACACTCTAACCAACCGAGCTAACCAGTCAGCCGGAATCTTCTCTTTTTAAATGATGTAGGGAGAGTGGAAAGCCAATTAATCCTGACTGGATAATTAGTAGATACTATTTAGATAAATAATTATTTAGTACTATTTAAACCCATAGTTTCCCCCAAGGAGTTTGACTTGACTGGTATTTAATCACCCAAGAGAAGACCTCTTCACCTCACTTTTATGAGGTTCACCGACAGAAAGCAGAAAACAGGAAACGGAGATAGGACAAGGGAGAAAAAAACACGTGTAAAACTCCGAACCCAAACAAAAAGTCCTTTCACTTAAATTCACTGCTAGTTATACTTGTGCCTTCTAGAGAGAGTGCAGTTTATACAAATTAGCCCCATGTAAGGAGAAAATTCACCGTACTGTGTAAAGTAATGTTAGTCAAAAATGACATCACAGAAGTATTTTAAACCCCTGTTGGTAAATCTTAGTTTTCTTATCCCACCCACCGCCTTTTAAAAAAATAGTTTTCTTTTTTATTCTGATGCCTTGAGAGTATTACTTAAACTTAATCAAGTTTATGCTTGACTCTAGTCCCAAACTTGAGTCCAAACTGGTGAAGGTAGGCATGAGACCATGTGAGGGCAGGAATGCTGTGCCTTGGTCCCCCCAGGGATTTCCTTGCTAAGGACATCGTATTCAAGCCTCAGATGTGAGGGTGATGTTAATGGTGGTGGTGATGGTGGTTGTTCTGAATAAACTCTGTAACCTCAGAGTCAATGACCCTATGAATTATTCTTCACAAGATTAACTTCTTTCCATTTTATAGAATTCCATATCTCTTAACCATCAGAAGTATACACTTTTACTAGAATTCTGGGACCATGCAGAATTTTCTAAAATTCTACCCCCAAAATATTTTTTGGAATAATGCAGGCTCAGAGGGTTACCAAGATGAGTAAGACGAAGACACTGATCTCAAAAGGCTCTCAGCCCAGGGAGGGTAGGAGGGCAAGAACCCATTAGGAGTGACAATGCAGCGTGACAGTTGCTGTAGTGGAGGTGAGTGCAACATGCACAGGCGAGAGAGGGGCTGAAAACTTACGAGAACACTTGTACGTAGTGATGTGCACGCATGCAAACCCATCCTCATCAATGTGAGTGGGTAGTCAGGGAAGATACCGTGTAGCCTGATAGGTGGCGTAGAGGACTGAGTAGGGGGGAGAATTTTAGAAAATTCTGCATGGTCCCAGAATTCTAGTAAAAGTGTATACTTCTGATGGTTAAGAGATATGGAATTCTATAAAATGGAAAGAAGTTAATCTTGTGAAGAATAATTCATAGGGTCATTGA